AAAGCCAATTCTAAATTAGAAATGTCAAGATGATATAGGAAATTGCGCCTTACGTTCATTCAGTTGGTTAGTGATGCACTACAATGTCTAGAAACATTCTCTCTAATTCATCAAGCAATATTAGAACTTACTAATAAAATGGTTGGCTTCACATAAAACAAAAAGATAATGATGATAATGAAGGAAATCATGAGACAAATTATAGTGATGAGGGTAATGGTGGTGATGGTCAAACAATTGGATTTAGAAAGAGAGATGGTAGAAAAACAAAAAAAAATGATTGAGAAGTTATGTAAAGGTATCAAGTCAGAAAAAGATAAAAAAGTTCAAACCTAAAAAAAAAAACTTCACGAGCTTCTAGAAAAACGTCAAATATAAAATTATAATTTTTTTTACAAAACAATTAACCTAACTATGATGAACAAAAGTCAACTAATTATGTATATATATTTTAAAAAAATAATTCTATAACTTAAAAAATTACTATAGTAGGAAATATACAAATATAGTTATAAAATATTCTCCCCTTTTAAAATCTCCCTACCATGGTATAAAACTCTATTAATGTAGATAAATAAGTATTATTATGGTGAGTAGAATTTAAACTTTTTAAATTGTCCTTTTCAAAATTTGGGATCCCAAGTATTTAAAATAAAATAAGTGTGAAAGACCAAAAAGATCCCTTATAAAATTGAGAACATAATAAATACAATAGATTAGAAAAAATAGAAATAGTTATATATTTAAAATCTTGTAACCATCTATCAATCTCTTCAAATAAAACAAAACCAATTTTGATATTACCATTATACATCTACAATTATTGCTAAGTTAAAGCCACCCAATACAATTTATATCAATAAATCAAATATAAAAACATTTAACAATTGACTTAGGTTTGCACAATACAACATTCCAAGTAAAATTTTAACCTCCCACATGCCATTAGGTTAAAATCACATATTTCCAACCTTATGCTCTTAACAAGTGCAAACCATAAATCAACAATCAAAATAAATAATCTAATCAATTTTTAAAACAAGCCAATTATATGGCTTCATAATTATGCCATTTCAAATCATCCAAAATAGACCAGACATCAAAGTTACAAACATCTAAAGTGTACCAAAAGTAAACATAATTGAAAGGCATGATTATATCATTGCATTTATATAATTGTTAATAATAAAAAAAAATCCCTAACATTGACAATATAATACATTAAAAATTATAAATAAAAATACCCAAAGATCGTGGATCTATATCACTACTTCAAGGACTTCTCCATGCACCATTCATAGCTCCTCTCTTGAAAATTTTTGACTAGATAATGAGACTAAAAAGTCTCAATGATCAATGTCAATTTATGATAATATATAAAACAATTAAATTTGTGCTTATTAAGTGGGAAAACAATAATCATATAATTCCAACCAAAATAAAAAGAAATATTATAATGCATGACAAACAACCATTCTTATCTCCTTTCATTAACATCAAGTCATAGCTCTTATTTGATGTTAAATTATTCGGTTAAAGGTCGATTAGCCTAAACCCTTACAAGTCACCTATTGAGCCTTTAATAAAGACATACCACATAACACAAAAATACAACAAGAAGAAGAAGAAGAAATCTCCTAACACCTCTCACAATAATCGAACAATTACATATCAACATTATACAATTACAATATTAAATTTTCATAATTTTTTTATTTTTAACAATATTATAACATGACATCTCACTTAGCAAAAATATTTCAAAATGCATATCACATTTTTTCATAAACATAAAAAAATAATTTCTCAATAATAATTCATAATTTTCTCAATAATCACACAATTAATATGAAGTAATACTAATAACAAATTAAAGCATGGTTACCTCATAGTTTTTTCAATAAATTATTTCTTATTTCTTTTCTACCACAACTTTCACCAACAACACAATCTACACATAATATATTATTTCTAAATATTAATTTTAATTATTAAAAATAATAAAATAACTATAATAATAGAATTAGAGAGTATAACATAATTCCTGATCACATTATTAATACAAGTCTAGAACTAGTACCCTCAATAAAATTTTTAACTCCTCTTTTAATCATTAACAAATACTAATAAGTTAAAATCAACCTTTAAATTAATTTTTATTATCAAAATTTTTCTTTTTATTTCATAAATTTACAATTAAAAATACCCAAAAATTAAAAATTTAGTCTCAAACATAGAATCATCATTCTGTAGCTATAATAATATGTTTCTCATCTTACATAATTATCTAAACCTCAATAAATCAATATATATTTTCATACTTAACAAAAAATCTATTTATAAAGATCTAGAGTTTAACTCACAAGTCTTAAATTCAAATTCCATCAATAAAATGATCTCTAAAATATTTATTATATTACTAACAAGCTCAATAATCGTATTTACCTATTATAAATTCGTCCCTCTTCTAAGCTTTGAATTTTTCGCTATCACAAAATTAAAAACTAAAAAGGATAAATGATTAAAATTTTTTTTAAAATACTTATATAGTCTTAAAAAGCTTATAACCTTACCCAAAATATTCAATTATGGAGCTTAAATCAAATTCCTTTCACCATTCTTGCGCGCACACTATTTTTTTTTTTTTCAAGCTTCTCCATTGTGGACGAAGAACACATGGGAAAGGAAAGGGAAATGAAAAAGGAATTGGGTTGTGTATGGTTTTAAAAAAGTTAAAGGTGAATTTTTCCCTTTTAAATGGTCACAAAAAGCACATAAATAATCCTAAATTTAATTATAAATCATTTATATCTCTTGACTACTCAAATTTTTTAATCCATCGCCTTACTGTTTCTCTTGTCAAAACTTTCCATTAGTGGCCCGCATTTAAATTTTTTAGTATTTATTTATTATAAAATATTGTTTTGTCAGTCCCACCAATATTTTTTTTATTTTTAATAACTTAAAAACTTCTCTCTCTTCCAGAGTTCCACCTACTCTCACCATCCTCAACCTCACGATAGCAGCATATGTAGTTGACAATAGCTTTGCGTCTTATACATGCAGGCATCATGCTGTTCATTCTCCTACATCAATCCTAGTAGATCATTATTCTTTTTCTGACCTTGGATTTGTAGCAAGTTCATCTGGACCTGTCATTGCGCTGTCTTGACCTCATCATGCATGTAAGTGCAAATATCCTCTGTTCTATGATGACAAAACAGAGCACTTGTTGCAAACTAGTTTTCACAGAGTTTTCCACCAAAAAAACTCTGTTTTCTCGGATGATTCAACCATGGACCTTTGCCGGTAGCAGCATCATAAAGGTCCATAAGATGGCGCTGCGACTTTTGGTGCCTTCTCTTGTCTAGCTTCGTTCAGTTTGTTTTGTACCTTTTATCATATATGTCTCTTTTATACTTGTATTTCATACCTTATTTCATCGTATTTGTGAGCTTACAGGCATGGTCTTTTATACTTGTTTTTTCTATATCCAAACTTAGACCCACAATCACATGCGTGCGCGCATAACAGTATTGAAAGCTACACGGTACACACACTTATGAATGAAGGTGGTTTCTCGACCTCATGCATGCAAGTGGGTTCTCATTTTACTCCATCCTCAACCTCATGCATGCATGCAGTAGGTAGGTTCTCGACATGCATGCAGGTGGGTTTGCGAGAGCATGCCCAGGAGGACTTCGGAGCAATCGCCGGATTTCGTGATGGTGGGAAGCACCATCTCTATTTCTGACATTAAAAATAGGGGAGAACAGGACCTAAGTCAGGCGTCATCGTTTCAACATGAAGCCGCTTCAACTGTCGGCTAAGGGATAGTAGAACACTAAGGTCTCAGCCAAAGCTTTTTTGGTCACCTGGACTGGATCTGGTCCTCTCATCGAAGGATTGTGCCGATAGAACTGGATCATTGAACTTTGGAACCAAAGCCACCATCTTCACCATGAGCACCGTCGCCTTTACCAAACCCATCATCTTCAACTGACGCTAATGAATTATGATGTGGGTTGCTTGGAGATGGAGAGAGAGTAGGGAGGAGAGAGAGGAGGAGAGATAGTAGGGAGGAGACGGGGAAGAGGGTGGGGTGTCGAGAGATAGGAGGAGAGAGAGTTTTTTTTTTTTTCTATCATAAGAAATATTTTAAAAATGGTAGGAATCATTATTAAATATTTTATAATAAAAATATTAAAAAATTTAAATATAAGACCTATATAATAGAAAAATTGATAAAAAAATATTTTAAAAATAATGAACCTACTATTAAATATTTTATAATAAAATATTAAAAAATTTAAATATGGCTCTAAGTCCCCTCTCCCTCTTCTTACTTTTCTTCTTCTTCTTTTTTTTTTTTTATACACCTATACACGCAATGGATAGAAATCCATTCCTCCCTTTATTTATTTTTTTAATTCTTTCTCCCTTTATTTTAATAACAATAATACCAATAATAATAGTAATGATAATAATTATATTTTTTAAGAATCTTAACAAAGAATTTTATTTTAAATTAGTTTAATGATTATTTCCTAAATAATTTACTTATCTCTAAATATTCTCCAACATTTCTATTAATTTAAATTAATTATTAAAATTTAAATTGAGATATTACATTAAAGGTATGCTTCCATTAAGTTTCTATCTATGTTTTTTTTCTATTTTTCTAAGATGCTTTTTAGGTAACTGTTATTTATTTTCCGACTATAACATGATCAAATACAATATAATCCTATAATGTTGGATACACTTGAAGAAGATACCTCAACTAGAGTACAACATAATCATATAATGTTAGATAAACCTGAAGCGAGTCAAATGATTTCTACCAATTTATTAATGGTAAGTACATGATATTCCATCTAGTTTTTTAATCTAAAATGTATATAATTAATCATTCTTTCACTTTTCTTGAATATAAGAACCACTTGATTATGATATGATATCACTTGAAGTAGTAAAGTTCAACAAGCATTTGCAAATGGTAAATTATAGCAATTTCAAGGCAAAATGATTAACTTTTATTTAAATCAATGGAACTTCTAACACACTTTACAGTTTCAATGCAATACAAATGTCATATTCTTCATGTACAAATATAAGTTCACAATTCAACTCAAATCCTCCTAAATGATGTAATCTAATTCAAGTCCTTTGTTTTAGCCACTGCTTTATTTCAATTACATTTGCTTCCTTTTGTTCCAGCCATTGCTTTTACTACTCTTAGGAATTGAGATACTTCATTTCGTTTTCGTTTGCTTCCTATTGTTCTAGATTCCACTCCTATTTTATTTCAAATTTCACTTGAAATGCTCTTGTTTTGGTCATTGAAGCCATTTGATGATTGTATAGCTAGTCTTTACTCTTATTAGGCAGCTCTCCTTGAAAATGTGGCTCATGTTCATAGCATTTACTCTTTTCAAGTTCACAATTTGACTTTTTTATTTTTAGACTACAATTATAATTTCATAGTATATAGTCAATGTTACATTATCGTGAGTCAATAACCTCAATATATAGTAATGAGATATTTCTAACATTAAACTTTAAATATGAAGCTAAACCAATGCTACCTGCCCCATTGGTTGGCTCATAATGCATTGAAGCAATTATGTTTGGCACCAAGACAGCATTAAATATGAAGTTACTGTAATTTATCTAGAAACGATTAACCACTTAATTTTTTTATAAAGTATTTAACCAACAACCCATCTGTTAGGTAGCTAACTTGTATATAAAGTCAAATGACCTTAAAATGCACTAAAAAAGAAGTCCCCATACAACTGCAAGCATCTCATCCAATTGTAAGGCATAATAATAGTAGCAATACTAAAGAGTAGAAACTGCTAGTAACTTTGATTTAAGCATCTAAGTTTTCAAACTAAAAAGGAATAGAGAATGTATACATATAGCCCACGTTGAGAAGGTCAGGAATAATACTTAAGATGATTAAATTACCTAGGTATGCATGTCGCTTGTTAGGACCTTGTAATACGTAGAATTAATACAGGAAATAATTCCTTTTATATTTTCAATGCCAATAAACTATAAAGTATAATAAAATCATTCATCCTTAATCTAGCTTTGTAACTTTTGTAATGTCCACACATAGCATCCCCCTTGATCTTTATTCCAATTGTGCAGGTTGGTAACCTCAACATCTTATAGAGTCCTAATGTGGAAATGAGTTCATGATTTCCAAAACCTATCTTTTTCCCCAGTCTTCAGTCAAACAAAGTAAAGTTATCAATAATTTTTCCACCTAAACAAAGAAAAATAAATATACACTTTATTAACTAGATAAAAGACATTGGACAAAGCCAAGGAAGCTAATAATTAGCCATGTTGGACCAACAAGATTTTGTTTATGTTATCAAATATAACAACAACATCAGAAATTAGTTATCTGGCATTAGCGGCAAAATCAAGTATGTTCTTTAAAAATTCAATCTTGCCCTTCATTTCCTAATATTAGATGCAGAAGCAAAAGTAACGGCTGAGGTTTTGTTCTATTATTCATCTCATGCATGTTTATTCCAGCATCCAATTATGCATATGTGAAATTGTGATTGTCTCTCCTTCCTTGAATCTGGATCTCTTTCCTTCCTACATTGTTGTGGTCATATTAAAACAAGAATTGGCGGAAGGAGGGAAGCGAGAATAGTTGAAGGTTATTTGATTGTTATTTACTTCCCATACCATGCATTGTGCAGGGGAAAATGTCTCAGCACCAGGAGACAGAGGAACTTGTATCTCCTGTCCAAAGCTACACTTTTTTAAGACAATTGGTCGACCTCAATAGTAAGAAAGAATTGAGCATTTTATATTTCCACTAGTTAACTTAAACTCTTTCACTTTTGCCAATTTATTGTGAAAGCACATGTCCCAGTATACACGTCAAAATCCTTCCAAGAGAGTTTCCCTATGTGAGGACTGTTAGGTGTCCTTGAAAAAGTTTTGTTCAATTAGGACAACGAATTATTCAAACTTGCTTTAGAAGCATATTGGACATCACATTAAGCCCTTTTTGACAAGAATCAGATAAAATTAGCAAATGTCATAGTAAAGTTTACGTGAAACCTAGTATACCTTTTATTAAAGGAGTAAACTGAATTCCATGGACCTCAAAATGTTTCGAGAATAAATTTATAGCCACAACGTAGCAAAGAGAATAAGAAAAATACTTATATACTTAATTCTATATACTTTTTTTTTTCATCATCTGTTATCCTATGAATCTGGAGGTATTGCCACTTTGCCTACGCTAATCCAAAGACATGTGATGCTTTATATATTATTTATTCCATTAATATTATTAACACCTCACAATTCACTTGTTTAGATTTGTTCAGATAAATATATTAAGTACTTCATGCCTCCTAAATTATAAAATTTTGTTTGTAAAAGAGACACAGTATTTAATTTGTTGACTAATTATGAGAGAACTAGAAGGATGAAAATCAATCAATCGCATATCCGATTCAGACTTGGCAGCAAAGCCAAAAAAAATCAAAATTAAGAATGAAACAGAGTTGGGGAAAGTGAGTGCTAAGTTACCAAAATATCCAACCAGCCAAAATGGATTTGAACAAAGTCAAAAAGAGTCGCAATATTTGCGGAGTTAGTCATGTCAAGTTGGTGAAAAGTTACGAGGGTGTTAAAGAGACCAGAATCTTTCAATTTGCGAAGGGCTTGGATTCCTGCACTGGAATCTCTAGCCGTGAGCACCACCTTGACTCCATTAGAAGCCAGCATCTTCATAGTCATTATACCTATCCTTTTGTTGGCCCCGGCCACAATGGTGTGCTTGAAACCGGCAACAAAAATTCCAGCAGAGCAAATGCTAGGATATTCAATTCATATCATACAGGCGACACATAAAGAGAATAGGCACGAAATGGGGGGTCCCCGAGAACCAAGAATAAGGAAAACATTTCCTTTGCCTCGGCCGTAGATGGTGAGATGAGATTTGATGATTGCATGCTGCAGAGTGAGTGAGTGAAAAGGGACGATGGCCGTTAAACAGCAGAACTTGTTTGACCTCTCCCTAATAAACTATTGTGTGAAATTCCATTATTATTATTTAAAATATGTTTGTTTAAGTTTTTCTAAAATGATTTTGGTAAGTAAGATATGCATTAACCATTACTTGAATTAACTTGCAAAATCTTTTTTTTAACTTATAAATAACTCCTCTGGCAAAGAAAGTATTTGTATTTGTCCTATTTCTAAAGTATCTAAATGATTATTGTGTTAATCTTTATTCTTTTTCTCTTATTAAATGTTGAAAATGTTATTTGTAACATCTCAATTTAAATTTTAATAGTTAATTTAGATTAATAGAAATTTAAAAAAAATATTTAGAGATAAGCAAAGTAGTAGAAAATGATCATTAAATCTAACTTAGGATATAATTCTAAATTAAAATTTAAAAAAAACAAAATTTAATTAAAAAAATATTAATTAATTAATTAAAAAAATATTATTAAATTATTATTATAAAAAAAGAGAAGAGAAGAAAAAAAAGAATTTGCTTTCGGCCGCCACATGCATCAATAATTGTATAAAATAATAAAAAAAAGGAGAAGAAGAGAGAGGAAAGAAGAAATAATTAAAAAAATGTGAAACCCACTGAATTTTTTATAAAAACCCACCTCCTTCCTTCTTTCTTCACTTTTTCGTTTCTTCATTCTTCCCTGTGCGTGAGCTGAGGCAGAGAGAGCGTCTAGTTTCGTTGGTGCTGGGTTTTAAGGTAAGAATTTTTAATAAGATATTTAGGGTGTGATTTTAAGCTTTTCAAGATTAAGTATGTGTTCTAAAAAATTTTCTTAGTGATCATTCCTCTTTAGTTTCTGAGTTTGTGGTGATAGAAAATTTAATATTTGAAAGAGGGATGAATTTATGTTGAATAAATATGGTTTTTGAGGTTATTAGTAGTATAATAAATGTTTTAGAGTATAAATTTATTGATGATCTTTGAATTTGTGACTTATGGATCAAATTCTAAACTAAATCTGAAAATATGTTGATTTATTGAGGTTTAGATGATTATTTGGGATAAGAAATGAATTATTATGGCTATAGGATTATGATTCTAAGCCAGAGACTCAATTTTAATTTTTAGGTATTTTAGGTGCGAATTTATAAAATAAAAAGAAAATTTTGATAATAGAAATTAGTTTAAAATTTGATTTTTAAATTATTAATGTTTATTGATCAGTAAAAGAGGAGTTAAAAATTTTACTTAATAGTATTAACTCTAAATTTGTATTAAGATTGAGATTAAAAATTATGTTATATTTTTTTAATTCTATTATTAGAATTATTTTATTAGTTTCAATAATTGAAACTAATATTTATAAATAATATGTTATTTGTAGATTATGTTATTGGTGAAGATTGTGATGGGAGAGAATTGTAAGGAATAATTTATTGAAAAAGTCATAAGATAACCATACTTTTAATTTGTGATTAGTGTTACTTCATGTTAATTGGGTGATTATTGAGAAAATTATAAATTTCGTAATATTGTATAATTGTGCAATATTATTATGAATTTATTTGATTATTGTGAGAGGTGTTGGGAGACTTGCTATTGTTGTTGTATTTATGTGCCACGTGGTACGCCCCTATTGGAGCTCAATAGGTGGTTTGTAAGGATTCGAGCTAATCTACCTTTGGTCGGATAATTTAGCACCGAGTGAGGGCTACAGCTCGAGGTTAATGGAGGGATATAAGGATGGTTGTTTGTGTGTATTGTAATATTTCTCAATTTGTTAGAATTATATTATTTTTAATTCTCACTTAGTAAGTACATACTTAACTGTTTGTACACACTATCATAAATTGATATTGGTTACTGGGACTTTTGAGTCTCATTATGTGGTTAACAATTTTCAAGAGAAGAGCCACAAGTGACACGTGGAGGAGTCTCAGAGGCTTAGTGGCATAGATCTACTGTCTCTTTTGGGTATTTGATTTATGATTTATAATGTGTTATATTGTCAATATTAGAGCTTTTTATTTATTGACAATTATATGAATATATAAATGTAATTATGCCTTTCAAACTATTTATATTTTTGGTACACTTTGGATGACTATAATTTTAATATTTAGTTTGCTTTGGATTTGTTAAAATGGCATGATTATGAGGTCAAATAACTGGCTTATTTTGAAAATTGACTAGATTATTTATTTTACTTGTTGGGAGTATAAAGATGGACAAATGTGATTTAGTCTAATGGCATATGGGAGGCAAAAATTTAACTGAAATGTTATATTGTGTGAGTTGAAGCCAATTATAAAATATTTTTATATTAAAATTATTGATATAAAATGTATTGAGTGGCTGTAACCCAACTATGGTTGAATTAAATTATAAAAAAAAATTGGTGTGTTACATTATTAAATACTATAGTATTTTATTTTTAATGTATATATATTTAATAATAATAAATTTAAAAACTTATTAAAGTTTTAGACAGAGTTATTGAGATTTAAAATTTTCTTGAATTCCAATGAAAATATTAAAAATAACCTATAAATATAATGAGATAGAGTACTTGTATTATTAGCTTTTTAAAGTAATCATATTTTTTTAAAAAAAATAATTCAAATAATTTGTCAAAATAAAATGAAAACAATTTTTTTAAATTAATTCTGCTGGTTCCTCTCATAATAAATAGGGCATTGGTTAATATGTTTTTTGGTATTTTAAATTGAAACAGTTTTGTTACTATTATTGGTTGTTTTTTTTTTTGTTTTGTGAGTTGTGTGTTAGGTTGTATTTTAAGTTTTTTTTTAGTATTTTTGGGCTCCGGCTATTAGTATTTGTAATAATTTTTTGGTGATTAATAAAATTGACTCTTTTAAAAAAAACTAATTTAAATGATAGTTTGTTCCATGTTTAAGGTAATTAAAATTACTTTTTAAACTTAAATAAATTGGCTTGTACTCTCAACTTCACATCATTTCGGTATTTGTGTTATAATATAACAGCTGGTAGTAAATTTCTTATTTTTTTAATTAACATATTGATTTTCAAGTTGATTATGCATATAATTGTATTGTACTTTAATAATTATTAGGAAAACACTTAATTGTTTTCTTCTTCCTTACCTAAGCGCATGTCTTCGCATAAACAAATCAATTATGTCATAAAAAAAAAAGTATATGCTTTTATATGTTATCATCTTCTGTTGAATACTTGTCAATCCCTTAATATATAATTAATGAAAAATTATTGTTCTTACAAGACTAATCAATCTGTAGATGACATTATTAAAGTCAAAGAACAATTTATCAAAAGATCATCCTAAGAGGATTACGTGTTTTCACTTTGAACATTAATTTGTTTTGGCCTCGATAGCTTTGAAGCTACAGGATTTTCTTGCCGTACTTCGAATACTAAGGTTGAAACCTTCGTTTGGAATTTTTTTTAAAAAAACGATGCATATTAACTATCACAGATGAAATTAAACTCGAGCATCAATTAACACATGAAATGATCCAAAAATAACATAAATTCACCCGAAACATTTTTTTTGGGGAGAATAACGGGATTACGAGAGCCTGCCTACCCTAATAAATGTATTATTCAAAGATAAATTATATTTTATGAGTGCATGCTATATATAAAGATAAATAGTTAAAAGAATCATACATCATTCACTTCCAGGAATTCAAAGGGGTTAGGACCTGAGTCTGCCTTTTCTTAACCTGTTTAGTGGCTTGTTTTGGGGGAGGGGGTTCCTCTCCCTCTTTTTGACCCTACAATTGTCTTCTTTCTCTTAGGCGCAAGGCAGAATAAAAGCTTTCTTTCTATTTCACCTCCTCTTCTAGATGAGCGTAAAAAAACAATCTGGTGACGGATGAAGGTATAAATTATTTGATTATCTAAATCTTACCATGTTAATTAATTAAATAAAGAAGATGACACGAGACACGACATAAAAAGATATAATATTTATTTTAATATGGATCGAAAAAATTTTGCATAATGGATAGGAAAGTAATTAAGGGCAAGTCCACATGCATATTCTGGTCAAAAAAAGTCCAGAAGTTTAGTTTGGCTCGGGCCGCCACCTGTGAGCAAAGAATTTATAAACGTGAAACAACAACAAGAGACAAAAATTATTTTTTTTTTTTCAAAAAACCCTCGCAGAGTTATTCTTTTATTCGAGGTCATCAAACACAGATTGACCATTACCATATATGAAGGTGGCTCAGAAGGTTGAGACATGTTGGCGGACATAGAAGAGGCCAGAAGGGGAACCAGGGGCAGTAGAGCTAGTTTGACAACACTACAAGCACCTTGTTCAACAGATAAGCTGCCGGTATTTCTGGTGAGGTCGGTGATGACAGAACCTGGGCAAACACTATTGACGCACACATTTGGGTACTTGATGGCCACAAGCCTCGTGTACGCGTTCAGGGCTGCTTTTGCCACCTTATAGGCTGACCCATACATCGGCCACCCTTTGCTTTCTAAACACCCTTCTTTGAAGTCCTTCTTGAACTCCCTCAATACTTCATCTATCCTGTAATCTGTGAGATTCTCAGCATCATCTAACACCTCTTTCGCGCATTTGTTTGATATCCCCTGAAACAGCACAGTTTTGCCATGATTATGAGCTAGCTAGCATATAATCTATGATCATAAAAAAGGAACCGCATTTGTTAATTAATTAGTCTCCTTTACATTTAAGGACCCAGCCTGGGAGGAGACATTAACAATTGTGGGCGAATCAGATAACTGGAGAAGG